CTTTAAAAAGTCTTACTGATCCCAAACTTTTGAACGGCTGTGTATATATATATAAATGATAAGAAATAACTTGTAATAATAAAATAATATAGTTTTAGTAAATCACATTATTAATGACCTGTAATCATAAAATAAAAACAGACAATGATAGATCATAACATCAATGATACAAGTTAAATAAATAAAGAAAGCTTCTTTATTGGCACCTATTGCTCCATATTTGCATTCAACAGAAGGTTGCTGATAGTGGAAACGGGCTCTTAAATGTAAACCGTGATGGTAGTATTTGTGTGTTGTTGATGTACTGTACCTGTCAGTGTTGCTGGCGTGAGAAGCGGCTGCTAGACCGCTGCTGTGTCGCTGCCCTCCAGGGAAGGCAGTAGGTTGTATAGTTATCTCCTGAAGGGGCAAAATCACTACCCTGAAACCACACAACCTACTACCTCACCCTGAACGAACATCAGGAGCGTCCCGAGACCACAGTCAGTGCTACAGATCACTGCGGAGACCTCGAGATGCTGAAATATTCTCCCAACTTGCATAATGTGAATGACAAACGATCTCATATTTCTGCAAAGCACATCTGCGAAAACTTTCCTCGGAAAAAAAACTGTAGAGGAAGCAGTAGGGAAAATCAATCATAGTGATCTGACATGTTTCTTAACAAAAGAAATCATTCTTCTGGGAAATCATTTAATCATTCGATCCAAATATGCACATCATGTCATTCGGGTTTAATGAGTTTTAATATTTTGTTGACGAATGTTGTCCATCCCAGAGACTTCATGTGTTGTGTTGCGGCAGGGTTATTAAAGTTAAACTAAACTGTAAAAAAAAAAAAAGATGATAAAAATATATAAATATATTAAAATTATAAGCAATTTTTAAAATATATAAATAAACATTCTAAAATATATAACTATTTTTAAAAATTAAAAATATAAAGATTATATATAAAATAAAATATATAAATATTTATTAAATATATATATAGATTATTACAATATATATATATATATATATATATGTACCAATAATTATTAAAATATATAAAATTTATATATAATATAAAAATAAACTTTATTAAAAATAAAATATAAAAAACAAATCTATTTTATTTGCTTTTTTCAGCTTTCAACATTCTCATTTTTGTTTAGTTTACCCTGAAGTATTAAAATAACAAATTAAATAAACTAAAATGAATAAATAAAAAGTAATAAAAAACTACGCAAACATAACAAAAACGAAAACTAATAAAAATGACAAAAACACACCAAAACTTTGACTAAAATTAAAAATGAAAACAGAAAAACCTAAAAATATATGAAAATATATAACATAACACACACACACACCTCATTATTACAACAAATAAAAACTACCTTATTTCAGCTATACTTGCCACATTTCAAACATCAAAATGACAAATTAAACTCAAATGAATAAATAAAAATATAAAAATACAAATGTCAAAAAAAAAAAAACGCTCAAACTTTGCCTGAAATTAAAACGAAAACTGAAAATGTTCAAATAAAATTGAATTCACAAGATGAACAAAAACTATAAGAGTTGAGCAATAATACTAAAATAAGACTGGTCCACCCGTGGTCAGGCTTAAAGAGGAAGATGACGGTGATATTACAGCCTCTTCAGGAAAGACAGTAAGTTGTATAGTTATCTAACAGGAAGGGTGTCACCCTAAAACTATACAACCTACTACCTCACCCCAAAGGACAGTGGGATCCGCTGGAGACACGTCAACTCCTCGACACATCACAGCAGGGGTCTTCAACAGAACCTGCGGGGTCCAAAATATGGAGAGTGGAAATGAACTCGGATACGAAGCAAGCAAACTATTTAAGTGCAAAAACAACCTTTCATGAAGAGAAGTGTTTCAGACTCAGCTCAGTCTGATCAGCGTCTTCATCTCTGTCCGTCTGCATCTGTAATGAAGAGAAACTGATGAGTCGGTCAGTTTCTGCTGATTTTATGATCAGGGTTTTCTTTAGGAACAGCTCAGATTTGAGTCTGGTAAAGACGTGGCCATGCTGGACATGCGCATGAGGAAAAGCCAAATCCTGTTTGTGTCATTTCCCAACCTGCCTTCTGCCTACACAAAACCCCAGGAAATAGAATTAATATTTCAATATTCTTAAATATTTTATTGATTCAATTTAGAGAGAAAAAAAGAAATAATACAAATTAAATATTTACACACTTGTTTTAATTATTTAAATATTTAATATTTGCTTATTTCATAATTCCAACCTGTGTTCTTGCTATTGTTTCTGTCAGATCTCTACTGTCAGCTGAAAACCTGATAAAATCTGTATAAATATTTATATTTAAATATTTTGTTCAGTTTAAATTTAAAGTAAAGCAAATTATAAAAATAATATTTCTTAAATATGTATTTTAATTATGCATTATAATATTTAAATATTTGTTTACATTAATTATTTATTTAAAAATGAAGCAATACATATTTATTTTTTAATATATAAATATTTGTTTAATATTTGTCAACTGAAAACCTCATAATGTATAAATATTTATATTTAAATATTTTAAGTT